ACCTGAAAATCCCAAAAAAAATCCCACTGGAATTCCCCTAAATCCCAAAAAAAATCCCACTGGAATTCCCCTATAAACCCCTCTAAATCCCCTACAAACCCCATTTTCTCCCATTTCTCCCTCTAGATGCGCAACACCCGTGGTGTGTCTGTCTGGCCCGTGGGGCTGGTGGAGGGCTGGAATTCCTCTATAAATCCCCTATAAATCCCCTATAAAACCCAATTTTTTCCCGTTTTTGCCCCCCAGATGCGCAGCACGCGTGGCGTGTCGGTCTGGCCCGTGGGGCTGGTGGGGGCCTGGAATTCCCCTATAAATCCCCTATAAAACCCCATTTTTCCCCATTTTTCCCTGTTTTACTCCCATTTTTTCCCCACAGATGCACAGCACCTGCAGCGTGTCAGTCTGGCCCGTGGGGCTGGTGGGGGGCTGGAATTCCCCTATAAATCCCCTATAAATCCCCTATAAAACCCCATTTTTTCCCCATTTTTCCCTGTTTCTCCCCCATTTCTCACCCCCCAGATGCGCAGCACGCGCGGCGTGTCAGTCTGGCCCGTGGGGCTGATGGGGGGCTGGAATTCCCCTATAAATCCCCTATAAATCCCCTATAAAACCCCATTTTTTTCCGTTTTTTCCCTGTTTTACTCCCATTTCTCACCCCCCAGATGCGCAGCACGCGCGGCGTGTCGGTCTGGCCCATGGGGCTGGTGGGGGGCTGGAATTCCCCTATAAATCCCCTATAAATCCCCTATAAATCCCCTATAAAACCCCATTTTTTTCCATTTTTTCCCTGTTTTTCCCCCATTTCTCACCCCCCAGATGCGCAGCACGCGCGGCGTGTCGGTCTGGCCCGTGGGGCTGGTGGAGGGCTGGAATTCCCTTATAAATCCCCTATAAATCCCCTATAAATCCCCTATAAAACTCCATTTTTTCCCCATTTTTCCCTGTTTTTCCCCCATTTCTCACCCCCCAGATGCGCAGCACGCGCGGCGTGTCGGTCTGGCCCGTGGGGCTGGTGGGGGGCTGGAATTCCCTTATAAATCCCCTATAAATCCCCTATAAATCCCCTATAAATCCCCTATAAAACCCCATTTTTTCCCCATTTTTCCCTGTTTTTCCCCCATTTCTCA